TTTTGAAGTCTCACTCTGTTGCCAGGCTGGAGTACAGTGGCGCAATCTCAGCTCACTGCAACCTCCCTGGCGTGTGTGTGTGTATGTGAGAGAGAGAGAGCGCGAGAGAGAGAGAGTGAGTGTGTGTGTGTGTGTGTGTGTGTGTGTGTGTGTGTCTGGGTTGCCAGGCTGGAGTACTGTGGCGCTATCTTGGCTCACTGCAATCTCCGCCTTTCAGGTTCAAGCGATTCTCCTGCCTCAGCCTCCCCAGTAGCTGGGATTAGAGGTACGCACCACTGCACACAGCTAATTTTTGTATTTTTCATAGAGACAGGGTTTCACCATGTTGGCCGGGATGGTCTCAATCTCTTGACCTCACCGTCCACCTCTGCCTCCCAAAGTGCTGGGAGTACAGGCATGAGCCACCACTCCCAGCCTCCTATGGCTGTCTTTACGCTACTGGTTAAATTTCCTGAATTTTGGTCAGAGTTAACAGAAATTTTGCTTACAACACAGTGGCAAGGGCTATGTGAGAACTCTGACCCATCTATGTGAGACAGGTATTAGATAGGGTAGACACGGGACATCTGCAAGGTGGACAATGTGTGCACAGACATTTGAGAGCTACCTACCTGGGGTGACTCTGTCGTCGTCCTCTATTGGGGGTATTCCTAGACATACTGCCCAGACGTGTCTCATCCCCAGTAGATGCCCACTCAGCATTGTTTTTCTTGAGTAGTTGGTGTGCAGAGGAACTCTGGTCTCTGAGCGATTACTGAGCCTAGAGAACAGCCATGTGACAGAACCTGGCTATATTTACACTTGATGCCCCTGACCTGTATTTATAGCAGCCATGCTTCCTGGGGTTTCCAAACTCTCCTCCACGTGAAACAGTCTCTTGTGTTGCCTTTTCCTAGAAATACACTGGGAAGCGGCAGCACAGCTGCTGTGTTCAACACCGTGCCTGGGTCTGGGACACCGAATCTAGATTTACCACCCTTTTATAAGCCCCGCAGGAGGAGCATTAATGACCATGGCCATGACAGAGGAGGTGGTGGTGTCCTGTTTGGTTGGCTTAGGTGGGTTGTTGAGGAGGGAGACTGGAGAGAAGTGGAGAGAAGAGTCAGGAGTAGAGAACTGGACCCTCTGTTCATTCCTTTTGATGCTGCCCTTGCTTTGTGTAGATGCCCTGCTCTGACTCTGGTGGCTTTCTGGGTTTATACCCACAAGACAGCACTCCACAGGGTAAAGAGAGTTAAGGAGGGGCAGCAAATAGACACTGTACATTCATGTTTTCCAAGTGCCTGCTGTGAGCTTTGAACCTCCAGGCCCTGACCTCTGAGGACTAGTTGCTGAGGACATTAAACTCATTTCCAGGAGGGGTGAGAAAACAGCTGAGTGCAGACTAAGTGGCACTCACCCAAGCCCCAGCTGGAGCTCTGAGAGGGAAAGGTGTGCAGAGAGTACAGGCAGCCAGCAGCAAGGGTGGCCAGAGAGCCCACGTCTGGGGCCAGATGGTTCAGGCGCACATCCTGGCTCTGCCCCTTCCTCTCCATGTGACCTTCTGTGTGTTATATGACCTTGTTAAGCTTCAATTTCCTCATCTGTAAATCGAGGAAATGACCTCAACTCCTAGCAGGGTGCATGGATGCCTGCCTAAGCTGAACTCAGGAGAAGGGTACAGAGCACCCAGGTGTCTGATGACCACAGTGAAGGGGTTTGAAAAAGGGCTCATGGCAAGAAGGGGGCTTGAGGGGTTGGTGAGTACTGTGGGACCTTGTCTAATGCTGGTCTCCCCTGTAGTAGTCAGGTCCATGGCATCCTACGGGGTAGGCCCCAGGCCAGCCAAGCACTCCTTTTCTCTCTGGGGTGCTTTTCCAGCGGGCCATGTGAGCTCCACTCACAGCTATGGAGAGGAAAGTGGCTGCATCCTGGCAGCTTCTCCCTCCCTCTCTCACTGCCCTGCATTGTACAAGCACATGGTCCTGCTTAGAGGCTTAGGGATCTTTGCTATAAAATACCAATAAGTGGGTATGTTACAGAGGTTCAGGAAATGAGGGGAATTGCTCTGATGGTTCCCTGGTCTGTTTTGAAGCAGGGAGAAAGGGACCCTCCCTAACGGTAGTGTGGGATAAACACCCCAGTGGTTCTCAGCCCTGTCTCGACTTAAGTATTCATTCTTTTTTTTTTTTAAACATATACTTTGTGTTTTGTCTGCCAAACTTCGGTATACATGAGAATTTGTTTCTTTATCTTAAAAAGATTAATAATCAAAGACCCTATAACAGATAGTTTGATTCCTTTCTGCGTGATAGATACCAGTTTAGGTCATTTGCTAGCAAATGCTAGTGTTTAAAAGGCTCAGAAGGAAAAAGGACAAAGGACAGAAGCAGACTGGTGTTGTCTGGTTTGTCTGAGGTCTGGAACAGTTAGCAAACATGTAATCACACAGCTTGTGTGGTAGCTTCATTGAAGCCTTTTTGTCAGGTAGAAGTTCAAGTTTCTATAAGAATTCTTGAAATGCTGTAAAGAGATTTCTCTCTCAGAGCTGCCTTTTGTAGATAAGCACTAGGGTTTTGACAGTTGGAAACCATGGTCTTATACTCTGCTTTTAGACTCCTAGGCTGGGCGCGGTGGCTCATGCCTGTAATCTCAGCTCTTCGGGAGGTTGAGGCGGGCAGATCTCATGAGGTCAGGAGTTTAAGACCAGCCTGGCCAACATGGTGAAACCCCATCTCTATTAAACATGAAACTTAGCTATGCATGGTGGTGGGTGCCTGTAATCCCAGCTACTGGGGAAGTTGAGGCAGGAGAATCATTTGAACCTGGGAGATGGAGGTTGCAGTGAGCCAAGATCACATGCCACTGCACTCCAGCCTGGGCGACAGAGCCAGACTTCGTCTCAAAATAAATAAATAGAAGAATTAGAGTCCTCATCCTATTTGAGAATAGAATTATGTTTATTGACTTTTTATCCCTAGCAACTAGTACAAAGCTTGGCAAACAGGAGTTCAATAAATGTTCATTAAATGGACATTTCAGGAAGGAGCTCAACAGTCAGTCATCACCAAGACTGTGCCTCGAGGAGAAGTTCCTCAACCAGAGCCAGACACGTAATTTGTGGTATCCAGGGCGAAATGAAAACATGGAACCCTAGCTTAAAACGTGGGAAAAGATACCATTAAAGGTATCTATACCTTTATAAATACAAGTCCTTTCCCTTCTTCAATGATCTTTCCCTCAACTTGTCATGTGGTATTTTTATTTACTATTTAAGCATATTTAAGTAAAGAAAAATTAAAATTTTAAGTTATTAGCATGAATTTTACTGTTCATCCTTATGTTGTGCAATTCCAGTGTAAAAGACTATGAGCATTTAATGTGTGTAGAATCAGCAAACTACACAATTCCTATTTCATAGCTCACATATGCACACGTATTTTGTTCTTGTCAGAACAGTGGCATTGCTGTGCTTAACTACTCATCAATGCACTCAGCATTGCTAACTCAACTGTTTTTATTTCACTTCTGGATACCACACATTCTACCAACACTCTCTACCTTCAGCCTAATGTTAGGAAGGACTGAAAGGAAAAAGAACTATCCAAGGCTGTCTTTTCCTTCTACGTCACCATTTGCATGTAAATAGTTGGTTATTGTGGTAAGTAACACAAATAAAGTATAGGACATGGCCAGGCACAGTGGTTCATGCCTGTAATCCCAGCACTGTGGGAAGTCAAGACAGGCAGATCACTTGAGGTCAAGAGTTCAAGACCAACTTGGCCAACATGGTGAAATCCCATCTCTACTAAACATATAAAAATTAGCCAGGGGTGGTGGCATATGCCTATAATCCCAGCTATGCAGAAGGCTGAGACATGCTAATCACTTGAACCCAGGAGGTGGAGGTTGCAGTGAGCCAAGATTGCACCACTGTGGTCCAGCCTGGGTGTCAGAGTAAGACTCTGCTCAAAGAATGAAAAATTTTTAAAAGGCCAGATCAGTGGCTCACACCTGTAATTCCAGCACTTTGGGAGGCTGAGGCAAGCAGATCACATGAGGCCAGGAGTTTGAGACCAGCCTGGCCAACATGGCAAAACCCCATCTCTACTAAAAATAGAAAAATTAGCAGGGGCTGGGTGTAGTGGGTCACCACGCCTAGCCTAGGACTCTAAAAAATAAACCTGTGATCATAGCACTTTGGGAGGCCAAGACAGGCAAATCACTTGAGGTCAGGATTTCAAGACCAACCTGGCCAACATGGTGAAATCCCATCTCTACTAAAAATATAGAAATTAGCGAGGCCTGGTGGTGTGCGCCTGTAATCCCAACTACTTGGGAGGCTGACACAGGAGAATCGCTTGAATCTGGGAGGCAGATGTTGCAGTGAGCTGAGATTGTGCCACTGCACTTGAGCCTTTGCCACAGAGTGAAACTTCATCTCAGACAAAAAAAAAAAAAAAAGTAGCTGGGAGTGGTGGTAGATGTGTGTAATCCCAGGTACTCAGGAGGCTGAGGCACGAGAATCACTTGAACCCGAGAGGTAGAGGTTGTGGTGAGCCAAGATTACGCCACTGCACTCCAGCCTGAGTGATAGAGCCAGATTCCATCTAAAAAAAAAAAAAAAAAGTATAGGATGTCATAGTGTTTCTTGTTTTTTCATGTTTCTTAGAATATGTAACTTTCTTTCTGCATATGAACCAAGTTCTGGTTCCAGCCCAGAGTATGACATGCTTTCTCTGTCACAAGCAGATACCCTGCCTTTGAGACTCTGAGCACTCGTGCTTTGTGGATCCCTGGAATTCCGTGCTCACTGGCATCATGAACACTATATGCAACTGACACAGCAAGGAAGAATGGACACACGTGCATATCTCCTCTGTTCATGTTCGTGTCCCACTGTTCCATTGGCCTTCACTTTCAAAACACACGTTCAAAGATAAAATTATTAAGAATTTCAGCCAACAACAGGGCATTAAACCAAGGGCAGGGCCCTTCCAAACATGAGGCCCTTTGAGTCTACACAGGTTGCACAGCCATGAAGCCTGCATGGCCTCAACCCTTGGTTTCCCTCTGGGGTCAAATTTTTGGATGGTGGCCCAGTTAGAACAGAACGATTCATTTCAACAGATGAGCCATTTGCACGCCCTAGGCTTTCAGTTAGTTGTTTTTATCTTTGGAAAATGGTAGACACTTCATTTCCATATTTAGGTCTTCACTCTTCTGCTTTACATCATTTATGTTTTGTAAAAGCTTAGGTGGTTTACTAACAGGTGGTGTGTTTAAAAGGCTCAGAAGAAAAGAAAAAAAATGATAGGAGTAGAGGTGGATATTGTCCATTTTGTCTGAGGTTTGGAACAGATTGAAAAGCAAAAAACTCCTAGGAATACTTAGGACCATTCAAAGATAACTGCTCACTGTTCGAGGCTTGATCATTTTTATACCAAAGCCGAGCAAATAGGTTGAGATGAAGGAGGAAGGGAAAGAGCTGCATAGTTGTGAAGGGAGTGTCCTTTGGTGTGGAAAGAAGAGAAGTACAATGAAGAGGACATGAGAAAGTGCCTGGTAACTCTACATTTTGGGGTGTTTTTTGCACAGAGGGGCTTAGGGCAGCCAGGCCTTCCAGAAGAAACAACCTCCTCGGTATGGGAAGAGAGGGTGAGAAAGGAAGTTAGTACTAGAAGCACTGGGAGAGAATGAAATGCTAGAAAGGCAGTTAACACTTTCTGACAGCGCTGAACAGATAGCTAAGGGCTTTTAACTTGGCTGGAAACTGAAGTTCCTTGAAAGTACTAGGAAGCAAGACTAGTACAGTGAACTGCAAAAGAGGAAGGGGTGCAAGGAAACCCCTCCTTGTCTTTTGTTAATGTACAAAGGAGAACTGGGTTAGGAAAGCCATGAGGGATAACAACAGTAAAAGTTTAACAAGAAGCAGCCACATGTGCATTGGACCTTTAATTCCTTTAAATAGCTCTACATTCTGCCTTGGTTTTAGTTTATTGTATAAATGCTGCTAATTGTGAGTAGCTATTTTCATCATTAAATTTGATAGATACATGACTGGCTGTTGCACATTCTCCAAGGGGCCCACAAACCATTTCTACACTATGACCTGGAAGCTAAGAGTCATTTTTTAAAAACATATTTAAAGATTTGAAACAAAAAGCAAAGAAAAATATGCCACAGAAACCATATATGGCTTGCAAAGCCTAAAATATTTACTAACTAGTCCTTTGTTCACTGCCCTCTAATCTCTCTACCCTCAGCCCGGATGATCAACAGCTAAGTGAACCCAAAGCACTGAGGCTGCTGTAACTCTGGGTACCACCCTCTGAGATCCCAATTTAATTTGCCTGGGGTGCAGCCTGGGAATTTTTTTATTAGGTGGTTCTAATGGACATCTGAGGTTGAAATGTGCTGGCTGAAGACAGTAGTTCCCTAAGTAAGGTGTGAGAGCAACAGCATCAACGTGGCCCAGCTTGTTAGAAATGCAGAATCCCAGGTCCGCCCCACACCTGCTGACTCAGAAACTCTTGGCTGGGGTCCAACAAGAGTTCAGAGTGATTCTCAAGCATGTTGGATTTTGAGAACACTGCTTTAAGGCTTGGGCTTTCAAACCTAAACCTGCTCATGGCAGGCAAACCTCACAAATGGGTTAGGTTGAAAGCCTAAGAGGAAAAGCAGAAGCTGATGAGAGAGAACGGCAAGGCCTCAGGTCTCAGCCTAAAAATAACCACAACTGTTCCTTACACAAAACCGAGGCCCTGGGATATGAAGTGAGCTGCAGGAACCCCAGCCAGGACTAGAAAAACACTACAAGTAACAGTAATGAATTCCTCCCTTAAAAAAAAAAATCATGTATAATAATTGTAGCTTTGGGCCCTTTTTTAAATTTTTTATTTTATTTTTATTTTTTGGTCTTGAGACAAAGTCTTGCTGTTTGCCCAGGCTGGAGTGCCCTAGCATGATCTCTGCTCACTGCAACCTCTACCTTCCAGGTTCAGGCAATTCTCCTGCCTCAGCTTCCCGAGTAGCTGAGACTACAGGCGCTTGCCACTACACCCAGCTGATTTTTGTTTTTTGTGTTGTTGTTGTTGTTGTTAATACATATTTTATTGCACTTTAGGTTTTGGGGTACATGTGAAGAACATGCAGGATTGTTGCATAGGTACATACAGGGCAATGTTGTTTGCTGCCTCCATCCTCATCACCTATATCTGGCATTTCTCCCCATGTTATCTCTCCCCAACTCCCTACCCCCCACTGTCCCTCCCCTAGTCCACCCCAACAGACCCCAGTGTGTGATGCTCCCCTCCCTGTGCCCTTGTGTTTTCATTTTTCAACACTTGCCTTTGAGTGAGAACATGCAGTGTTTGATTTTTCTGTTCTTATGTCAGTTTGCTGAGAATGATGGTTTCCAAGATCATCCTACAAAGGACACAAACTCATTGTTTTTTATGGCTGCATAGTATGACATGGTGTATATGTGCCACATTTTCCCTGTCCAGTCTATCGTCGATGGGTATTTGGGTTGGTTCCAAGTCTTTGCTAAACAGTGCTGCAATGAACATACATGTGCATGTGTCTTAAAATAGAAAGATTTATAATCCTTTGTATATATACCCAGTAATGGGATTGCTGGGTCAAATGGAATTTCTATTTCTAGGTCCTTGAGGAATCGCCACACTGTCTTCCACAATGGTTGAACTAATCTATACTCCCACCAACAGTGTAAAAGTGTTCCTATTTCTCCACATCCTCTCCAGCATCTGTTGTCTCCAGATTTTTTAATAATCACCATTCTAACATCATCTCTATAGTGAGATGGTATCTCAATATAGTTTTGATTTGCATTTCTCTAATGACCAGTGATAAGTGTTTTTTTTTGTTTGTTGGTCTCATATATATCATTTTTTGAAAAGTGTCTGTTCATATCCTTCACCCACTTTTGAATGGGTTTGTTTTTTTCTTGTAAATCTGTTTTAGTTCTTTGTAAATTTTGGATATAAGTCCTTTGTCAGATGGGTAGATTGCAAAAATTTTTTTCCATTCTGTTGGTTGCTGGATGACTCTAATGATTGTTTGTTTTACTGTGCAGAAGCTCTGGAGTTTAATTGGATCCCATCTGTCTATTTTGGCTTTTGTTGCCAATGCTTTTGGTATTTCAGTCATGAAGTCCTTGCCTAT